CACAAGAGACATACGTGACGACATATATGAGTCCCAGCCGATGCCGTTTGATACTGTATTGAATTTCGATGTGATCATAAGCCGAATCAATTTTACATACAGTGACAAACGACCGATTCATGTCATCGAGCTGGATATGGGCACTCTCAGAGAGGGAAGCCTCACATTTTTGCAGTATTATGACGAGGTTGATAAAAAGCTCACAAATTAAGCCACTATGTCATACTAAGCATCGACGGCAAAGGCTTTTTGTGACAAATTCCGGGATAATGTTCTTCGCGTATTTATTTCGGGACTTAAATGCAGTCTCACTGATGTCCTCTTCTCGGCAAGCCGTAAGATATGCTATCTGCTCTCGCATTGGCTCAAGAAGTAGAATCAAACCACGAAAGATACTCATCCGATCGATCAGACCCATAGAAATGGTAAAGGGGTAAATCACATTGAGCAAAGTGCTGACAACTTCGATGATATTCATATACACCACCGCGGCTTCTAGCGCGGCATTAGAAATTATTGACGACGCCATTTGCGAGTAGGGGAAAGTCCCTGCTACCCGTCATCACATGAAGAGGAGCGGCGCGTCAAATAATTTCATCCTACCATACGAAGTCTTTGAAGGCCTCCCTCCAGTAAAATCTCCGTTTAGGATTCATTCCATTAATGGCGTCACCACCATTACAAGGAAATTCTTAGTGTCGCTTTTTAGTTTGAAGGCCAAGTACAAGTACAAGTATAAAAACAGGAGGGGTCATCACTTTATATGGCACAGAGATTGATTGATTGATTGATTTCATTCGTGTCCCGATGTTAATCTTACCAACGTGCCCAGATGGACCAACTTTGGTAATAGATGCTATTTTAAATGTTCGCAGCGTCAGTAAAAAAGTATTTGCAGGCCCCAATGAGGCTCTACTTTATAATACCCCGGTGGTAGCCAACCATAAGAACTGTTGAACTGTGACTAAAACTATCGACAAGCTTTTGGATTGGTTTCAGAACCATATAACTCTGGAGAAAGCATGCTTTCCGTTAAAACGCAGTTTTGTACTTTTTGGAAACAAGAGACGACATAACATTGATTTCACATGCATTAAGTCATTGCTTGAGCACGCTCAAGATAAGCTCCGAGCCAGGGAAATGCTTTCCGGCAAAACAGGGTGTACGAAGTTGCCGGAAAAGTCCTAATGAAACCCAACAGGCGACTAAGCAACAAACTCTCTCCATTGTCCTCATTAAGGAGAAGGTGGTCCATATGGACAACCTTTAGTGGGCCAAGCATAACCATGTTATCATTCCCATTGTATTTTTTTTATTTTTTATTATTATTATCCCTAGGTTTTAGTTATTCTTTATTTTTCATACTATGGTGGTTTAAAACAAACATTACAATATATCCAAATTACTGGTTTACATCCATAGTAGAGGTGGAGAACTATCGATAGTCAGCGCCATCGATAGTGCTTGATAGTTTCCATAAAATATCGACTATCAACGATAGCAAGGAAAATCTATCGTCGATAGTTGTCGATAGTGCAGTAATCTTAAAAAAAATAATTTAATTAGTTTTTGTAATAGTCCATATTTATGTAACGAAAACCGCCAGATTCGAAAAGTCCGCGATATTTGTAACCGTTGGCAACGCGAGAAACCGCGAAAACCCTTATAGGCCCAATTATGAGAGCTTTTGACAGCCGGGATTCCTGGTCTCTCTAAGCCTTCTCTTTTCCTTACGGACGTGTCCGGAAAAGCACGCGTCTCTGATCACCAATAAAAAAAAGCTAAGTAATAACCACCTTTCCACATGGGGCTAAGTGAAGATTTGGACGAGTGAGTGGGTCAGACCGGGTTCTAGGCAGCCACACCTATTAAAATGTTCCGCTCGGCTTTCCGTAGTGAACTCTGCCCGTGGCCCAACAACAACCACGACAGAAATTCGTTAATTTATTTAAAGTATACAAGTATGTCATTAGTTATCCATTCTTTATCTGAAAATAATAAATAATTATTATTTGGATAATATGATTATGTATTATGTGGGCTTACCTTAACTGCTATTTCTATATTTATTTCAACCAATAATTTTGGTTAAGAAAAAGCAAGACATTAACATTTTCATCTTTAAGCCTTGTACGTCTATTTGAAATAATTTGTCCGGCTTTGCAGAAGACCCTCTCTGACTCTACAGAGCTTGCGGGTATACACAAATATTTGAAAAAGATCATTTCCAATCCGGGAAAGTCATTCTGGCTCATCTGGAAAATTATTTAATATGTGGATTATGTTTCATCGTATTAAAATACGATTTAAATTTAGCTATTTAAATTTGCCTTGATCCATAATAAGGGATCCATTTCCTTTTGTTATTGTCATACAAAATTTTGCTTTTACCATTACATTACTAAATAACAATATAACAAAAAAATAACAATATCTTACCTATTTGAAGAAAACGATCCATATTGTAATTAATAACTATTTGTATAACTATACCACAAATCCGCACAATGTGCTTTCGTTCACACTTTTAAGGTAGAGATGAGAAAACCAAACTATCGACCACTATCGAGAGTGCGCGCCGCTGTCGATGGCGGCTCGATAGCACCAATCCATCGATAGCGTCGATATTGCCATCGATAGTTCTCCACCTCTAATCCATACCCCTGCTATTCCTTTTGAGCACAATATCGGATGGTATCCCAATCCCCAATCCCACATGCAAAAATTCTTGACCGTTGATATCGCTCACCTATGCGACCTGCACGACTCATTGAGTATCCACAATAGAGTAGCTAGAAGCTTAGACTTCCTTGGGATGGCGTTTAACGTAGCGGACGGGACGCCAGACGCAGAAGATTTCGAAACAATTAATCTTAATTAATTTCAATCAATCAATGCCAACATTAGCCTTAGCATACTATATCATGCAGACCTGAAAAAATGTTCGAATGGTTGAGCCCACCACGTCCTACAATCCATTCACATTTTTTATATTATTGTCAAATTTTCTATAATCAAGACAGCTTGTAATAAAATCACTGCGCATTGTGAGATCCAGCAAAGTGACCTTCATCACGTAACTTACGTTGACTAAGGAATCATTATTGTAAATGATCGTCCGGCTCACGTGAGTGCTGCACGTACGCCTACATACAAAGCACCTACCTCATCACTATTTCTGAGCGTGTCACGGACAACGAAACCTGATTTGTCCAGGCAAGGAGAACTGCGGCATGATTGCCCAAATAGGGTCTGCCGAGGGCGGGCTTATTCTTGAGGGTGGAGTAGTTAACAAAGTTAGCCGGGCGACAGCAATGACCGACCCTCTAAAAGCTTAGACCGGGCAAACTGCTGACACAGCATCTGGCCGGATGCTCACACATAGCCGGCAAACACTTCATATTTACGTGGCCGCTATAAATTTCATTTTATGGTACCTTTAAGTTTAATTCATATTTGAATTTCATTGAATAAAGAATCTGCCCTGAAATATCTTATTATTCCAAACTGTTTGAGTCCCTAGGCAAGCTAGAAGGGCAGTCACCCTTCCATAGTAATCTTCATAATTCAACATTACGAGATAACCAGCCAATCGATAATAAGCAGCTAATTATAGTGTTTCAAAATCAAGAAAACGAATTATTGCTGATTCTCGGAGTTTGCTTTTGACTCGCATCGACGCTTATAATTCCCAAATAGTTATAGTCGAGATGTTGGTACCAAGAGAATTAGTGATAGTTAGCAAGTGGTCTGATGATTTGGGCAGCACCAATGAATCGATCGTAACAACAGCTGCTACTTGTCTTTTGACCTCGAGTCTAAAGACTATCAAATATTCATTTACTGGATATAGGTCGCTGCTAACAAAGACTATTTTTGTTTTGGTGTCACATAGCTAACGTCCGTAAATTAAAATCCCTAAAGCGGCTTGGTATTTTACTACCTTTGCAGGGAATTATAATTTCAATCACGTAGTGAAGGAGTCACCTTCGACCATATAAAGTATATATAGCCTTGATTAACGTCAACAGCCAAGTCGATCTAGCCATGTCCGTCTGTCCGGCTCTACACGAAATAGTCTCTCAATTTTAAAGCTGAATCACACTATCCAGTTAGTGCTTGTATTATTCTAGTATTTCGGATTTAATTTTATATAAATCGGACTGCTATGTCATATAGCTCCCATAGGAACGATCGAGAAATTAATAGATTTAATTTTTATATCTTTTTCAGTTCTCAACATATTTTCATAAAATTTTAGATATAGTAACTTTATATTATTCTAGAATTTTGGTTTTACTTTTATGTAATTATGAAAAACTTGGAAAAGAATAAATGTAGACAAAAACGCCAAACTGTGAATATAAAAGTGTAACTAGAAAACTGTGAATGCAATAATTATAGGTGACTGTAATGATAATATAAATTATATAATTTTGATCAGAAGTTTGCATCGCAATGAGGGACATATTTCCGACACCATGAAGTGATCTTGATCAGGTTTAGCAGCCGAGTATGTATGTATAGGTAAGGTTGAATGTATAGGCTGTCGGCATTCCTGCAATCTATTTAAAAATATAATTTTTTTTATGTTGGAAGACATGCATTTTATTTCTCCATCAACTAGTGCACACATTTAACTAACGTTATTTGATCGACATTTGTCAACGAGTTTACACTTCACTCGAGCCAAGACAATGCATATATCTGCTTGAAGCTGATTTTTTGTAGACCTTGCTCTTAGCATGTTATGATACTTACATATATCAGCATTGTCATCTATTGGATAACATGTTGCCTTAAACACGACGAAGAGAAAATCTTTTATATTCTTTTCGAACTCAACATCAAACATGAAAGACCAGAACAATACCACCAAATTTAAAAATTTCGTCGAACACAACATATTGACCAAATTCTATTGTATATGGCCTGCTTTATAGGCCATATACATATATTTATATATATTTACAAAATATTTAATGTTTAAATGTTTTTAGTTTTCAGCTTGACAGCAGCTGGAGTAATAACATTTGGACTTTACTTCGTTAGAAGCTCGGCTGAAAATTTAATGTTATCAGCAGTTTTTGAAGCATTAACTTCCTTGAGTATAAGTACTCTGTATTGCGTTTTGGTTGATTTATTCCCAACAAATTTAAGGTATTGTTTAAATATATATATAAGTCATGATGATCATTCATAACACTCCCGTAAAATTTGATGTAAACATTTTATATGGGATGTCCGGTCTTAGACCACGGTGGTTATGTTTTCACCGTATAAGAATAAAGTGAAGTCACCTTTGACAAGTCCTATCCTATCCCTACCAAATATATCTAATAGAAAATCTTAGTATTATTTTTCATCTGTTTACTTTTGATTTAAGTCTAAATTTTTGTGATCCCAACGTGATCGCAGTTTAATCAAAGTCTGGAACTCGGTCTTGTTGTTTAATATTACTTAAAGAAACGCTTTGTTTCGCTGTCGCTTGCGGACATTCGGCCACTAATGCACGAGCAGAATATATGTATATCTGTGAAAAACAAAACTGGGTTGTGCAAAAAAAAAAAATATTAACAAAAGTGAATTTATTTTATAACAAACATATGTATGTATACGCTCTTGATAGCAAATAATTGAACGGAAATAATAACAACAAGTTGCATTTTGATGACGCTTGTTAACTTTATATATTACGCGGGGATTGCTAACGGGCCAAGGCTCATTTAAGTTTTGTAAACTCCATGAATTTTTATTTAAATACTTTTTCTATCGATCAGTCTGATTATGCTATGTGGTGCAATTGAAATAGATAAATTCCTTTATCTTGCCCTTTAATTCCGCACAGACGAAATGTCTGTTATGAATGTACAATATTTACATACAAGCATGGGAGGCGTAGGGCTCGAAACCATATTCTCGCTTGAATCGTCGAATACCTATTAAAAAAAGTGGTTAGAATTCACTCGTCAATCGATTTCATAATAAGGTATTACACCTTAACGCAAAACTTAGTTTAAAAAGTGCAGAAAGAAGACCGGCCAACGGTTTTCGGGAGCTCAGCGATTGCATAATCTCGGCACTACGCAACAAATTTTGGATGAATTTCTGATTCACATCGTTTCACGCAAGCAGAATCAGAAGACGGGAGAAAAATGGGAAGAGAATTGGTCAACCGCGGAGCTATCCATCTGGGATCCTATGGAGTCGTTCTTGGAGAAGAGTTGCAAAATAGAAGAAGATTTTAATGTAACACCAAGACAGCAGGTTGGAAAAAAGTTACATTAATATAATCAAATAATCCAATATGTCTATTTTTCGATTTGAGCGATCATTATTTTATTAAGTGCTTTCGATTTTTAATTTTAAATCCGAATTTTCAATTTAGAGCAGGAAGGATGTGATACCTTTACCCCAACTGTTTAAATTTAGCGAACCTTCCACCTAAAATCAAAAAATATTATTATTATTATCTCAACTATATTTTTTTTATTTAGCCATTTTGGCCTTTCAAATTAATCTTAAATTCAGCTTCTCAGTTAAACTTCATAGCTTCTAAACTAGCAAGCCAACTAATTTGAAATTATAGAAAGTAGTATACCTTTATTTTTGGGATCGGGAAAGCGTACAAAGACTTTCTTAAGACATATGATATCTTGAGAAATCACAGGATGCAAGTACGTACGTTTTTCGCAGGTGTTGTGATTTAGAGTATCACTGATAATCAGCCCCATTTCAATATAAATTCCTGATGATTCCTGTTTATAGAGAAACGAAAGATCGGAAAGATCAATGAGTGAGGCGGTACTCTGGACTCTTGACTTAAACATTCCGTTTATTACGGACTCTAATCCCTTCGTCGATCCGTACCAGAGCAGTCGGAAGAATATTGACTCTGTGCCGCTGTAGTAGGGACGATAACGGCTCCAGTAGCGGCTTTTCCGTTTTTACGATACAAGAATAATAACTTTTGAACCAAATATAATAATCGAATAATCTAAAAAGCATTTGACAGGCAACTGTTGTAAAATTTATAAATGTATTGGACAATGAACCACGCCTACCCATTCGCCTTTTTATAAGGAATAATCTCTACTCAAATCTTCTTTTCTTAGAGAAAGGATTTTTAAAAAACATTTTTTATTTACTTTTTAGTTTTAATTTTATTGATATGATTTGAAAATTGAAAATATATAAATATTTATATTTTATTTTTATTTATTTTTTTTTGTTATACAGATTTTTTTTGGTTTTTGTTCTGTCATTTGACAATTTTTACTATAATAACGAAATTTATTATATATTAAGCATTTATGGGCTATAGTCACTCGATTTTATGTATTTTTGAGACTTCAAATGTCCCAGAGAAATAATAATACAAATTTCATGAGCAGATGAATCATCAACAGCTTTAACAGCGTTAGCAGCGTTACAAGCCCAAATCAAAGTGCTGTTTTTTAGATTGGTTTACAGTTCATGAATGTATTTATTATTTAAAATAAAAACCATAACGGTTTTCTTAATATCACATTAAAAGTCAACAAACCTACAATTTTCTTTGTATGTTGCAAAAAAAAAAAAAGAATTTTAGCTGTTCTACAAATAAAGAAATAATATTATTTTGGTTACAGATTCGGAATCTTTGCCAGATTTTCTGTCGGCTAGTTATGGATTTGCTACTATGACTTTTTTAATTTTTGCAACGGTGTTTGCTCGAAATTGAAACAGATCTGAATAAGCGTTATCTGTGTGTTGGTTGTCGAATTTGATTTGTGGAAAGCATAATAGGTGAACAGGGCGGTATGTCATTTGGTTTCTGAGAGAGCGGGATTCGTTGCTGATGTTAAGGGGCTTGGCCATAAGCGAGTGTGATCAGCGTTCTTTTCCATTTGAACGCTCCACCGAGAAAGTCGTGAAAACCAAAAAAAAAAGGTGTTACTCTTTTTGTGCACGACAAGAAAAAGAAAGGCCTGGAGGCGTGTAATTTAGGTGAGTTAGAATAGAAAGAAGTAAGAGGGGATCCCGATCAGCAGAATTTTGGGTGATTTTTAGGAGCTCGGCAATCAATAAATCTAGTTACGATGAAAAAAAACACCGATAACACTTTTGACGGCGAGATCGGCGGCGAAAAATCAGCAATTAACTGTTAATGTGTTTTTTTTTTTGGTTGTGTTTGCTAAAGTCCCGTCCCTGACCCTATTTTAAATAAGTGAAAATCATGCAAATCTTCAGCTAAAATTATGCCGTAACAAAGGGAAAGTAAGAAAACAAACGGTAGAGGGAAAGAGAAGTGTGGGGAAAGTGAGCGCCACAAAGAAAAATTTAACCTCACAACTGGAAGAACAAGGGTTAAAAGAAGAGAGATATGAAAGAGAAGCGCGAATGCAGAAAAATGAGTGTAAATACTAGCCGAATTAAATCTTTAGTTCTTTGTAGCCATAAGTGATTTTCTTTAATGTTTTTAATGTGTTTTGTAATTTTTGTCTGAAAAATGTTTAAGGTTCGTAGCAAATTGCCAAGACTACGGCATGCCCTCACGTTGTCAAAGAAAAGAATTAGATCTAAAAAAAAAAAACTTAGCTAGCAACTTACCCCATTTAAGGATAGATAAGGAGAGGAAGAAGGAAGTAAAAAAGGCTAAAAGCACCTGTGCCCCCAAAGCATAAAATACATTTATCTTTTTCGCAGCGTTTTATATGTGTTTTTGGCTGGATATAGTTAAGTTAGTTTATGTAGCAAAAAACTTTAAGTCTAAGGTAGGTTAGTTCATGGCGAAGGCGGAAGCACAATAAAGCTCACTCGCTCTCTTTGCGGATTCGCCTCGCCTTAAGCTAGGCTAAGCAAGAACATCTAAAAATAGAGATGCCTCGCAATAATGATCTTGAAACTCGAGCACGTATTTTCGTCTTCGCTTGCCAAAAATCTTTCCACGAAGTCGTCGGTTTTAAAATAATATTTTCATAAACTAATTCAAAACAATACATGGGTACCTCCGGTGGACAAGATTTTATTTAAACATATTAAAAAATATTGACAGAGACATATACATATGCATATATAATGACATATCCACAGTCCCATAGACTTTAGCACATGCCTACTTATTCCACATATGTAAACCTATGAATCATCATCGAATGATAACCATACAGTCATCGGACACCACAACTCCACACGAATTTGATAGTAGAATAAATACAAGTCCCCAGTAGTAAACTAAACAATTTTATTGTCTAAACATTCTTCCCTATTTGTCGCGTTTACACGCTCAAAGTTCGGAATCGCTAGCTCAAAAACAAAATTATCAAATTTTAAAAGAGCACTTGTATCCAAGAGCGAATGCAATTGAATCCAAAAGAAATTAAAGAATCAATTAAGCTCTCTCTTAGGATCTTTTGAAATCCATTAAGATCCACAAAAGCTCAAGCCGGGGCTTGAACGTCAGCCATCCTAGTTCAATAAGTTGAGTTCAGTTTAAGACACGAAATTAATCGGTGTTCTTCAATAAAAAAATATCTTGTAATATATCGGTTTAAATAAAATATAATATTTTTTTAAACTTACGAATGACCAAGTATTTAATTGGCGAAGTCGGTAGGATCAAAAGAATCCTTTTAGTACGGCACTGGTCAAATTTAAGAATACGCTATACAACTAGCTATCTAGACCAGCGAATTAAAACAGTGATTCAAAAAGTTTGATCCGCTAAAGAATCTACGTGCAAGTAGTATTCTAATCGAAAATCCCGTGTGGTCAAAAACAAAATTGAAATTCGAATTTTTAATTCTGTGACTTTTTTAATACAACTAAAATTTACCAAGAATAAAAATGGCAACAGTGGCACAACTCTCCGAGCTTCATTTAAATCAGCTGTTAAGTCAAATCAAAGAGCTACACTACTACGATGACACACCAGGAAAGCTATCAGTGTTCATCAACCAAGTCGATCAGTTATTGACCCACTACCCAACACATGATGCCCGTCAAGCTCACATCATCAAGCGCTATCAAGCGAGTGATAGTAGATACTGCATTGGAAGCTGTGACTCAAGCAGGAGCAACCTCATGGATGGAGATTCGAAAAGCATTATCCATTTCATTTAAGGATCATAGACCATACGTGACGCTGGTGAAACAACTAGAAGAGAAACCATACCCCG